TTCCCTCTGCTCTTGAGTCCTCCCCTAAGTCTCCGTAGCTCAGCTACCTCTACAAGCTCATCACTCCTTGTGTTATCCAGTCCGTGGGCTCTACTATCACATCACACACTTCCGCTACATCTACTCGAACCCGTTACAGGCTGCATTATGACATACCTCGGAAGCGCATGGGGCCCCCTTCCGGAAGTTGCTGTTCGTCTACTAGACACCATTGCACGGGGCCATCTTCTACATGGAGTAGCCTGTCGGGGCACCGCTTTGAATAGGTCCTATTCAATAGGAAACCAATAGCTAACCAGCTCCGTTCCCTTCAAGCGAGGCTCTACAGGCGGGCATGGCGTATCAGCGGACGCACGCCGACTGCACCCGCCTGTCGCATTGAATTGAATGTTGCTTGGGATGAGCTATGCTACGCACAGTGCGCTAAACGGAGAGTCCAGTGGCCAGAGCTATTCTCCCCCGATCCTGTCCTTGGGATAACTTCAAGCATCGTAGGCCCATATATGGTCGAGCGCCCAGTTGATTCAATCAACTTGATTGTGCGGCTCAATCAACTCCACGGAGCGTCAGCCGACTAACCTCAATGAGCCTGTCCCAGGACTCAGTAGAGCTGTACGCTGACGGTCCGTCAGTGACGGATCAGTGACGGCGGGGGAATGTGCTGGATGTAGAGTTGCCTGGAAACTGCCATCTGGCGAATGGCAGACAGCCGGTTTCAAGCTGCCAGTCCGCTGCACTCCTGTGCAAGCTGAGCTCATGGGTATTTTTCAGGCGGGAGAGTTGGTGAAATCGAGATTCATGGAGGGAGCGGCTTACGTCTACACGGATTGTCTCCGGGCCATTGATTACATCGCGAAAGAAACCTCTGGCTGGCAGTGCCAACCAGAGGTTGGCAACCAGTTCACCCGCTGTGCCAGCCTGGCACAGCGGGTGAACCGTAGCTTCAGCGATAACCGAGCGACTGAGCACTCTGGGGGTGATTGTCAGACTGTGATACACTCCCTCAAAGGGCAGCATAGGTAATCTGAAGGCCGACGCGGCGGCGCGGGCCGCGGCTCACCACGGGCCTGCGGCACCTCTCAAGATCCCTCTCACCCAGTCGGCTCTGGCGCGTGCCGTGCATAAATGGCTTATGGTCTCAGCTACTGAAGCATATGAGAAGGACGTGCGGTCCCTCGGACGGTCCCTCCAGTATTTCGTACCTACGATGTCTGCCCTTAGGGCTCTATGTGTCATCAATGGCGGTAAGAATCTCTGGATGATTGTGTGTGGGCGCAACCTACGGTACTCAAGGAGCAAGATAGACCATGGCTCCCCGGTATGCCCTTTCTGTGATTCGGAAGAAGAAGAGGACTTCCACCACTTCCTATTCCGCTGCCACCATTGGAACCAACACAGGCGTGAGTTTCTGGCAGCCATGCGACTAAGGGGCATCCAATGCCCTCCCCCATGCGGGGACATCCTGCTGAAGATAGAACTCTGGTGCAAGAACTAAAGAAACTTACTGGTGGTACTGGTCGACTACAGCTCCGTTAACGAAGGATGGCTACTCTCGATGCCCAAATTGGCGGCTATAGGATCTACACGGCCGAG